AATCCCAAATACTAGTAATTTGGGATTTTGGCATCCCAAATCCCAAATGATTTGGGATTTGGGCAACACGTATAATAGGTACTGCCTTATTTAACTGGAAAGTGTAATTTATCGATGTTCTTACTACCTTATTTGGTATGATCTGTATGAACTTTACATATCTATCAAATATACGTTCCGTAAATCCTACAAATTTGTTGTTTGAGAAATCGGCAGTAGGAGTAAGACCAGTGGTATCTTGATTATCCCAAGTCTAAAGTCTATTTTTCCAACTTGATGAGAATCCAAGTCCATGTATAGTTCATATAATATGACTGCATAAGAATCATATTAATTAGATTTTATTGTTTCGTTATCGGTTCTAAACCACCAATCTTGGCCTATAAAAAATAATATAATCAACTGTTAATATTGTGAATAATCTTTTTGATATTTTTGATAATATTATTTGATTATTACCTGTATTAAAACTTGCAATAATATCGAAATCATTATACCCAGGATGTATGTTTAAGGGAAATTGTTTTACAAGAGCTTGAGGATAGCGCCTTGTGATCTTATCATCTGAGGTCAGTGGTATATATCATGCACTACCAGCGGCACCTTTTTTTAAATATCATAAATATTATTATGTAATCATAAAATGAATAAACCAAGAAATATTGTAGATTGTGAAAGTTACTTTTACAATACAACCCACCTAATAACGTTTCATTAAAAATGTTCGCAAAAGTAACACTTACATATATTATCTGTTTTAATTTCAATACTTTTTATATTTCCTTTCCAGCGTCAATAAAGGCATCTTTGACTTTTTTACACAAGGCTGCCGTAGAAGAACAAATATGATATACTTGAAAGAAATTGGTGGTTTGACGTTTAATATAAACATCATTATTTGTAATAGTATGTAAATGCTCACAAGGATTTGTAGGAATTTTATCAGTAGGTGGACATTTTACAGCTACCTGTTCGCAAGGATTTGTAGGATTTGGGTAATCGATACATGATTGAGCTTCTATTGTCAGAAAACTAGTAAAAATTAAAATGCACAATAATAATGATGAATAGATTAATTGAAATTTCATCTTTTCTATTTGATTTAAGAGCGAAACTTTAAAATGGGGGAAAAGTTTACTCGTCTTTAAATATTTTTTTTGCTAACTTTCTCTCAAACTCCGGGTATTAAATTTATAAACCAATATGTGTAATGTGTGTAAGTATAAATGGTACTTATTTTCGAATTTTTATTTCCCTTTCTTTTTTTTAAACACGCATTAAAAATTGGCTGAACATTTTCTTCTAAAATTTATCAGAGATGCAATTCAAAATTTACGGTATAAAGTGATAAAAGTTCAAATTTATAAATATTAAAGAGACAAGTCATGAATTTAAATTTTTTTTTTTCTCGTGTTTATAAAAAATACACCAATTGTAAGTTTCCTAATTTAGACAAAGAGAATCGAACAATGCATGATCTCCTAATTTAGATAATTTAGAATTTATGAATAAGTGAAAATCATAAATATTAGCAATTACAATGCATATTAATTCTTGGAGATTTGATATTCTTATCCAATAGTTTTTTTGATTGATTAACGTGACTTAATATCTACGCATCTTGCATAACAATTCCATAATTACCAGCCAAAAGCCTCGGGTAAGTTGCACCCAAAAACTTGAGTTGTACCCAGGGGGATATTTTTATAGGGGAGGGTATTTTGCTCAGCATGGGTTTTTGTTTTCAGATAAAATGGATTGATAAAATTATAATATAATAAAAAATAGTAATAATAAATAGCAATACAAATAATATAATAATAATAATAATAATAGAGTTATGCTAATTTTCACCGGTTAAATGTAGTTATTTTCATAATAATAATAATAATAATAATAATAATAATAGTAATAGTAATAATAATAATTCAAACAAATTTTTTATCGAATTTGATGTTATATAATATATTATACTCGGATACATTTCACAGGAGGTACTTTACTCTAGGGGATAATCTGGCCAGCGAATTATGGGATTTAATTAAAAATCCCATCGCCAAATCGTGGATACACTTTTCAAATTACTTCATCAATTATTAAAAATGAGAATGCAGCTGAAATTGCATCTTGGATTGATAAGAAAGAAGTAACCTATGATGTAAATAACAATCCTTATGAATTCAACCTTATCCTTCTTGGAAGCAGGGATGGATTTGAACCTCAAGTATTTTAGAATTTATGTAATCAAAAAACAAATCTTGTTGTTGTTGTGAAAGTTAAAGATACTGACGAGATCCTTGGTGGTTACAATCCTATTGGTTGGAATTCTAATATTAATTGTCTATTTTCTCAAACTAATAACAGTTTTATTTTTTCTTTAAAAAATGGAAATATCAAAGATTATATTCTTAGTCGTGTAATAAATGCAAGGTTAGCTATTTATAATTCGTCTAATGGTTTAAATTTTGGCGCTTATGATTTCCATATGTATGGAAATAGATTATTTGGCATTGATTGTATTCAAGGCTATGGAATACTAATTAGAACAAAAGAGGGTCATGCTTCAATTGACGATTATGAAGTTTTTCAAATTAAAAAGAGATAAAATATTTCAATCTATTAATAAAATATACTGTATGTTTTATATTTAAATAAATAAAGCTAAATCAAATCATCTAAGTTATTTTAATTAAAGAATAAGTTTATCTATAGTAAAAAAAAAAAGAACTCAATTATAAGAGCATGCAAATGCCAAATAAATAGGGTTAATTGCTTCAACATTTATGGTTGTTAATATAAAGGTTTCCAATTTATATCTGTGAAGTGTCAAGTTAAATAATATCACGAAAAGTTTTATAAATTTCAGATTTCATTCTTTCCTATAAACTACTAAACTACGAGACAGAGACAATACAATTATTAAACCATGAGAAGTGTGACAAAAATTTTATAATTACACGTTTGCAATATTTATAAAATATAAATTTAATATCATTTTTAAAGAGCGATAGAAAAAAAAATAAATTAACTAATAATGAATAATCTAATATTAATATTCGCACATAGGTTTAATTCATCGGGAAATTTTTTAGGCGTAATAATATGACACCCACGTAGAAATACATATATTTACGTATATTCACGTATATTTATGTGCGTATATTTGCGTAAAATTATATGATCCGTATATTTTACGTAAATATGCGTAAATATTGTCGCGGCTGGCGCAGAACGTTACGTATAATTACGTAAATCAGTCTTACCAAACTCAAATTTCTGTTGCACTATGATCGT